AGTCCCAGCTTCCTCCCACAGTCCAGAGATGTACTGGAAGGTGAATTGGCATCTGGGAAGACTGGCCCTGGCGTGAGTATATGCATGTCTGCGTTTGTGTCTGTTGTGTAGACTGGCATCCCATCCAGAGTGTAGCCTGCCCTGCGCCCATTGCTTGCTGGGATAGACTCCAGCTTCCTCCCGACCCCGAGCCTGAAGAAGTGTTAGAAACCAGATACTTACTGTTGGAACAGATACTTACTGAACTCCTGCTCTATCTTCTCCTTGAGGAACTCCATCTTCTTGGCCTCCCCATGCACCAGAAGGACACTGCGGGGCTCAGCCATGCGGATCAGCTGCATTATCCCCTTAGCATCTGCGTGGGCGCTGAAGGACATGTACTCCACCTGCATCTTCACTTCCAGCTGCAGCAACCGAGTAAATAATAAAGCACTAAATTATAAAACCAAGCTTATATACTGTTCTGTCAGTGTTACCTACTGTACATACCACAGTCTCCTAATACTGTCATTCCTAGTAAATACCCCCCCAAAAACACTGGATTACATTCTCAGGGACTGATCAAGGCCTACTGAAGTTAAATATGTTGTGTTGTATATTGTGTTGTATTATATAATAAACATCCCACCAATCATGCATAATTGTCTAGTCATAGGCTTAGTTAATTGATAATTACTACTCTCTTAGAAACCTTAAAGCAAACTAATTGTTTTTATACTGTGATTGGCATTAGAAGCAAATTAAGATGCTCTCGTGCAGCCATCAAGTCAAGACGCTTTAAATAGGGGTGCACAGTGCTTGCCTAAAAGTCAGCAGGGAGACTGTTAACAGAGATCTTCAGGGAGACGATGAGGGGAGTTCAGCCTAGAGATCAGTCTCAGGGCTCCTAGACAGAAACCATGATTTCTGGTAGAACGTCATTAAAACTCACTAGTTTTAGCTCACTATCGCTCATTTTGTTTACACTAATATTGTTCTCTGCTCACCAGTCTGTATTATGTTGTAAAGATACTCCACTTGGTTTAGTAAAGCTATGTACTTTATTCTATGAGGCGCTGGCAGAAGTTCTTACTGTAGGAAGAATCAAACTCTATGTTTCCCTGTGCGATTGCAAGATCATGTAACAGATTACAATTCAATTTGGATTTGGCAGTTTGGATTCCTCTTTCCTGGGACTTTAGATTTCACTGGACTACTCAGCAGCAGTGAATACAAGGGATTCAATGTGATCGATGATCTTAAATACAACTGTGTTCAATATAGACTACAGTAGTTGTCTATATTGTCCAAATGTTTAAAAAAGTTTCATTACTCATCATTTCCAAGAACTTTTCTTCACCATATTTTGAATGTAGAAATGCCTAAAATTTTACCAAACTCCCCTGTTTCCTTAATTCTCATGTAAATATTTGCTTTGGGTGCTGGATGACTTTGTTTATGAAATAAATCAAACACGTGTCAATCTTGGGTGTTATTTGCCTCTCAGAATCCCTTTATACATCCTCAAGACCCACATGAAGCTCTGATCACATTCACTGGCCAAAATATGCACACAAAAATTTTTTTAAAAAATCTAAATACGTTTTCACCAAACTGTAGCATCAGCCTCAAAATTAGGTCAGGTCGATCAAAATGTCACATATTAAAACTGATCATGTACAGTAAAATGCTTCTGATGTGGTAAGCAGAAGGAAATTTTGTTGGCAGCCCATTATGTGGAATGACCTGGTAGGTCTGAGTTATCAACCTACAATCAGGAAAATATATTATACAATACGGAGCGAGTCTTTAATTTCCTTAGTAATGCATCACAAGCTGAACTGTTTAAAAAGAACCTGCTGTATTACTGCAAAACTATTGGTCATAGAACACTGGGCAACCAATGACAGTTTAGCAGCTGCTACCAGCTTCCTCAGCAATTTCTAACAAGCTACAATACTCTTATTAGTTTTCTACAGTTAATATAAAGGCAAGCTTATCTAAATGACTAAGGCACTGGTACTGCTCTACTTATTTGAACACTTACTCCTCAGTCTGAGGCCTAAATGCCTTCTCACTTACCACTTGTCTTCCCTCCATCTCCAGCTTCTTCTGCCCACTCAGGACCTTGTGTCCCACAGTGCCTTGCACACAGTAGCCTGGCATGATGACCTAGGACAAAATATTTCAGGCTTCATTCCTAAAACGTATTGGGCTCTCAATCACAAAGCAGGAACAGAATTACAGAAAGCTCAGCTGTTTACTGACCGAGATGACTGCAGTGAACAGATTTAAAGAAACGGGGTACATTCAGTGAGCTTCCTTAGATATAAAAAACTACTTATCCAAATAACAAAAAGAATTAACCTGAAAAGTTACATACTGTGGCGATACAATCCCAGTGGCCAAAAAGGATGATACCAAAAGGGAACAACTACATGTGAGGTTTTCTTTACGTTTTGACTTATAGACATGGTTTTCGCTGCTTATTATTAAGAACATGAAAAATATCACAAGAGAACGACAACTGGCACATCTACTTCATTTGAAAGCTATTAACCAATTAATTCAAGGCTCTCTTGAAGAAAGTCAGAGTATCAGCTTTGAATACATTGACTTGCATCTACACAGTGATTTTCATCCCAAAGGATCATGAAGTGCTTTTTATACTGCAGGGGATCCTTTCCTTCTTGCACTGAAGTACTGCGTCCGTCTGACAAGTTATTTAGCACATGGATTGAATTAGAACATCTGGAACCACTTTAGTTTTTTAAATGTAATCATCATCCATCCATTTTGCACCCACTTTAGCCAATTCAGGAGTGCAAGGCAGGGTACACCGTAGATGGGACACCAGTCCACTGCAGGGTGCATACAGACATGCACACACTCATGCCAGCGCACATTTTCCCAGAAGCCAATCAACCGACCAGTTTGTCTTTGGACTGTTGGAAGGAAACCAGAGCAGCTGTGTTGCACATGAACACGGTGAGAACATACAAACTCCACACAGACAGCACCCCAGGAATTGAACCCAGGGCCCCAGCGCAGTAAGGCAGCAATGCTGAACACTGTGCCACCCTGTTACCTGTTTGATAATCATCACTTTGTTAAACAACATTAAAAAAGTCTCAGGTTTAGGGAGTAAATCAATTAATTTGACGATCACCTTTAAAAAAATATGTGACCAAGTCTTATCATGGCCATGTACCAACAGTCAGTCATTTCTCTTTCACAATGTACTCTCACAACAGCTTTCCAAGTCTCTTCTCACTGTTCTGTTCAGGTTTCCCTGGTAGAGTTTCCCTGGGTCCCTTAAACAGCATTTACTGATTTTGTAAAATAACATTTAGATAATTATGAACACCTAAAATGTGAAATGATCATTTTCAAAACTGTCTCATAAGAAATTTAATTGTGCGTGCTGTGTATGTTCTTCCCTCTGTGCTTTAATGAGAACCTCTTACTCCTCGTTACCACTTTCAAACTAAGAATTAAGAAACACTTCCATCTAGCGACAAAATGCAGTTACCAGCTCAGGGATCTTAGATGAAAACTACTCCACTGACTATAACCATAAACTGGAATTTTAACTTTCTTACCCAATAAAAAGGAACTTTTTTTTTCAGGTTGTCCAATTATTTTATGCAAAGGACAAAGATAATTAAATTTAGCTGCAAATGGTTTGGCCACATTAGCAATATATGCATTGCCTAGGATTTGTTTTCTATTACAGTTTAGTTTTACAATACTTCTGACAGGATTTTATTTTTTTTCCCCCGTGGATAAGAGAATAGTTAAAGTCTGCTGCTGTGTTTTGAAGAATGTTCATTTCTCCAGGGAAATAATCTGGGTGCATCTAAAAACAAAAAAAATACTGAAGCAAAGAAGACTCGCTGGCAATATCAGGGTTTTCTCCATATAGAATGTCGTGTTACATGCAAGATACTAAAAATTCTCTATTCAGTTAGCATGCACAGTGTATAAGCAACAAATGAATCAGTGTGTGCAAACAGGAGTTTCTAAGCAATGTGTAGGCCCAGCAAATTACCCACAAATAAAATATTAAGAACTGTGGCATTCAGATCTTGGGGACTTTTACAAACGGCTTCTGGTAGCAAAAGCTCCACTGCTCACGCCCGCTCTTTTGAGAAGCGCACAGATGGTGCTGATGAGGACTGACAGGAAGAATAAGGTACCGCGTGCAGGCGGGGAACACCTCTGCGTCTGCTCTGTCCAGATCGGGCCCGGTGACTCACCATATTCTTCTCGTTGCCAGCCCACTTCTTGAAGATCTGAAGAGACTGCCCGGCATGCAGCATCCCCGGTGTCGCAAACACTACCTGAGAAGACACGCCCCAGGTCAGTGTTTTTTATTCCTGTGGGGGGGCTGGCTCTGCTGAATCCTGGCTTCCAGGAGGCACAGCGCCCTGGGCAGCTGCGACTGGCAGAGCTCTTCCTCGGCTGGGGTGTGGCAGGCCTACCAGCTACCAAGAGAAGCAGGCTGCTCTCCTCCATATCAGCCCCCTCTCATCGTCTACTGCTGCTCCCACAGAATTAACAGCTTTTGCCAGCCTTTTATTCAATGCATTTTAAAGATTAAGGAAATATTTTGCCCCCAAGTCTATAACCTGCATAAGTTTATTAATTATGCTGCTCATTTGAAATCCTTCTCAGCTACCGTGTAGCAACTACAACATAATGCAGTATGCTTAGAGCACTTAGGTTCTAGTTTTTTATTATTATGCTGGTGACAGCTAAACATATTGAATCTTTTTTTCCCCCAAATAACTCTAACTGATTTCTAATTTTTTAAAAACTAAATGTATTCAATTGGACACATTTAAAATATGACATGAAATGGTAGGTGTTTACAAATAAAAAAACAAACAAATACAAATAAGTCTTTTGTAGGCCTGCCTCAAGCCCCATCATTACTGACAAAAAAAGTGGAAGTATTAAATTAAATCCAAGACTGTACCATGGGTCCTGGATTGTCAGCGTAGGATCGGTCAAATGCCTTGATGTGCTTGAACTCAAACATGTTCCTCTGGACAAACGTTTTTCGGATCTTCTGGTTTGTCCAGGTGATGAAGAGTTTGTAGTAATGATTGGCTTTCTCAGTCAGGCCAGTGGAGAAGTAAATGGGCGCCTTCAGGTTCATTCTCTCCCTATACAGAAGGAGGCACAGGCGGTGAGTGTGCGCTACCTTGGATTACGAGGTGAGACGATGCCGTCAATTTCATGTTTCAGACGAAAATGTGGTGGTGAAAATCCGAAACTGCTCTTGCTGAATTAAAACTTTACCTTCAAACTTACATATTCATTCAAAACTGCATGCTACAATATCTAGAACATGGTATTGGGCCTGCATGATATAATCAATCTCTGCCTTGTTCAGAGAAGGATTTCATTTTTTGCCATCAGCTGACCCAAGATTCAAGTGTCACATATAAAGACGGAATTTGTCTGGTGACAACAGGTGAAATACAAATATCTTTGATTATTATTACGGTGGTCAAAGCATATAGACCATATGGTCAAACCACGCTACTCATAGTGTATAGAAGTGTTGGTACTGTAAATGAATATGTAGAGTGATAGATAAACTGTAAATCATACATAGGTGTAATATGAACAAAATATTCTGTTGAATTAAATATGAACAAAATGTTCTGTTCTTGAATTTGTCATAGACCCCAGCTCTATTGAGCATATTCCAAATCACAGATGCACGCCAAAACTCACAGAACGGTCCATTAAGTCAAATTAAAACAAAGGACTAACACTAAAAGTAAACAAAAAAGTACTGTATGGTCAAAACACTTATGCAAGTATATCCAAAACTGACTGCTTACCAGAATGTTTCTAGCAGAATGCAAAGCTCCTGAGCTCTTCCCAAAGCAAAGACGGGAATAAGGACCTGCAGAAATTAACAAAGAACTGCTTAACAGAGCTGTAGTGGAAACTTTTATGGTTAGAATAAAGGAGCCACAGAAAGTATTCTCAATTACTTAGTATGGTCTTTATTCATATTGCAATATGGGAAAAAGCCATCACCTGTCCGTGCAGAGAGGTGAAAGCTGATTCAAAAGCAAGCAGGGAGAGCCCTTGTTTTATATCTTTTTTTAAGCTGATGCAACACTTCAAGGACAGGCAAAGCAGTAATTTCCTTATAGGTTTTTGCTTTAAGCAAAGAAGAGCAGTTATTCAAATAGTTTCTCAGACTCCCTTCTTCAAGCAGCAGAGATAAACTTTATTAAAACATTCCGTGCCCTTGACGAGCTGGGTGCTATCACACTTTCTTCTGAGAATCCAGCTGCTTCTGCAGCACAGCTCTGTCTGTAAACAACATTTTTAGGATAAAACACTTTTTCTCAGTAACTTTCCATTACAGAGCCTTGCTCTTTCTGACGCAGGGCTGACACCCCATCACGGGTAGGACATTATTTTAAAAGTGAGGCCAAAAAGTGCCAAGCAACTCTGCCAACACACTACTGTGCAGACCTTTCCTCCTCGTTCCACTGTCTCGTGCACTTTCTTCAGGAAGTCTCTTTCTCGGCAGCGTTTGGAGTCTCGGATGGTGGTGGCGTACGTGGACTCGGAGATCATGATGTCGGGACGACACTTATCAATCCACGCAGCTCTGGGGGACATTGAAAATGGGTTGAAAATCACTGTGATGTTTAGTTTGCATGATATAATCAATCTCTGCCGTGTTCAGAGAAGGATTTCATTTTTTGCCACCAGCCGACCCAAGATTCAAGTGTCAAGTCCATAAGAAATCAGTGATGGGTAGCAGGACCAGTTCTATTTTCTATTCCTTTACCTGCGAAACCAGCAGATCGCGGGCACTTGTAAATGAAAAGGAAGTATCCCACACAGAAATAGAAGATCTCTTTTTAAAACAATATGGAATTAGCAAAATCTTTTTTTATCCAAACAATTTGGAATCACAAATGTCACAGACAAAGGTCTGCGACTCACCTTTTACAGCTATGGGCTCTGTACAGGACACAAAGACCAGAGGAACACGCTCCTCTTACTTGCCCACCTGTCAGAATCCTGCACGATTACACCTGCTGCCAGCACAGTGCCTCTGTAGACAGTAGCCGGCACTGGCTGGAAGAGGAGTGTTCCCTATGAGGAAGTGTGTTTAAAGCCAAGAACAGGAGCCACTCTTTACCCAAAGGCTGGGGGGGGTATGGAACACGCTACCCAGCCATGTGGCTGAAGCCGATACCCTGGCATCTCTCAAGAAGTGTCTGGATGAGATCCTTGGATACTACCAAACTAGAAGGGCCCGACAGGATCCGATCATGACTTGGAGAAACTCAATCAAGGCCAGACACGGCCCCTGGCTTAACCCAACCATGTCTGCATCACGGGACTCTGGTTGCTGGTTTACTGGTTAAAAACAGATTTACCATTTTAAATCTAGTGTCGAAATTAAGAACTTAAATAGCCAAGAAAACAACATGACACCTACCCCAAATGTCTGTCTGGTGTCATATTATAATCCCCCTAGACAAAAAAAAAAGTTTAAGATGACTCAGAATGTACAGGTTATTCACATATCTTTTTTATTTGAACTGTTTTACATAAAGAGTAAAATTAAATACTGTATTTGTCAAGTAAATCTTGAATATCTTCTCAAGACCAGTCTCATGAGTAACATCAAATAACTCTACTAAAATAATAGGAAATTATTTTGGTGTGTAAACAGCATCACAGTCTTACCTTCTTAATTAGACATACAATGTGTGCTCCAACAACATCATGTTACAACTGTGTGTATCCCTACAGTTTATTACGCTGAAGACAAGTTAATCAAAGACACAGAAAATCAATTAGCATCCTAACTTGCAATAGATGATCATACATATTTAGATGCAGGGTTCAATTATGTTGAGAGAAAAAAGTGTACACGCACTATGCAAGTTATTCCCTTCAGTAACACATAGGCCACAGGAAGACTTGTGCTCTTTACTTACAGTGTAGACCACAGACTCTGACCCAACTTTAATCTGTACCATGGCAGCTCCCAATACATGGCCTGCATAGTAGGCTTTAATCTCCAACTCGTCATCCACCTACAAACAAAAACCCTTATATAGCACCGTTCCCTTCACATGAACATGCTCCATTCTTAAGACAACAAACACCAAAATGTAATACATGCTTCTTTGCATTACTATAAGTATCAGAAAAAATCTCAAGGTATTCAAGTGTTTAAAAACTGTGCACACAAAATCTGTGGATAAGCATGTTCATGCGGTCTATGTGGGTCCTAATGCCCCAG